TCTCAAATGTTTATAATTTTATATATAGTTTTTTTTAAATGAACTCATCTAATATATGAGTCTTACACCTAGTACTTATATAAGGGATAATGACATCAGAAGGTAACCAATCATACCCTTTGTATATATTTGGTCACTTATTTTTTTTCGTGCACTATTAACCATTAAACTTGTTTTTTTGTTTAAAATATATCATTATGACCGGTAATAGAGGGTTTTTCCGGTTTTCGGCGTCTTTTCCGGCCAAGTATGATTTTTCCGGTCACCTTCTCCGGCCAAAATAGAATTTCCGGCGAGATGGGTTCTCGACACATTTTTTAGATTTGTTGTTTCACTCTTTCCCTCTCTTTCTTATCTTTCGTCTATTCTCTAAAACAAACCCATAAATCAAGGTTTAGATACATAATCACAGATCTAGAAATCAAATTCGAAAAAATGGTATTCTTGAGCAAAAAAACCTTTGAACTTCAAATCTGAAAGATGATCCCACGATTTTTTCCTTCAAATTTGTAATCTTGAAATCAATTTCTTCCTTCAGGTTCGCATTCTGAAAATTGAAAACCCTAGGATTGTGTATCTTGTTCTTGGATCGAAAATCTTGAAATCGGTTTGCATTCCTAAAAATTGAAAACCCGAAGCTGCCATGGAAAACCCGATTCTCAAAGATGGTGAACAACTATGGAAAATCTGGAAATCGGTTTGCATTCCTGAAAATTGAAAACATGATTCTCAAAGATAATGAACAACTTGAACTCGAAGCTGCCATGGAAGTTGTTTGAAGAACATGAAGCAAAAACGAAACCAAGATGATGAATTAAGCATTTCAACTTCAGATTTGCACTCCTGTCAACGACCCTTCTCCTGCAAAACGAAACCAAAACGAACTCATTTCAAGGTTTTAACTTCATTTATGCATATTATCGATTTGTAGATATGGAAAATCAAGAAGATGAAAAATCGAGCATTGGAAGCAAAAAGATGATGAATCGAGCATTTCAACTTCAGAAATGTGTATGTGTTTATGCTTCAAATCTTAGAACCCAAAGAAGTCTAGAAACAAAAAAGTATCCTTCAAGAACTTCATTCGCCGGAAAAAAGTATGTTTTGCCGGAGAAGATGACCGGAAAATTCATAGATTGCCGGAAACCAGAAAAACCTTCTATTACCAATTATAATGGTATGTTCTAAACAAAAAAACAAGTTTAAGGGTTAACAGAGCACAAAAAATAGTTAAGTGACCAAATATATACAAAAGATGTAGTTGGTTACCCTCTCAAGTCATTATCCCACTTATATAAATATAACTCTAATGTTATCCTAGTTGGAGACGGGTCCTCATTTCATGTAATATCGAATGAACACATAATTTCCTATCCACAATTCTCACCGCCCACTCTATTTAAATAATGTTCTTATCTCACCCACAATCATTAAAAATCTTATTTATGTTCATAAGTTTACTTGTCAAAACAAATGTACCATTGAAAATGCTTCTCGACAACCCACAATCATTAAAAATCTTATTTACCGTCAAGGATTTTAGGACTCGACAACCCCTTATCTGTCATGGAAGTGATGGTCCACTCTATCTAATCATCCCACCTCTACCTCAAGCCTATGTCTACACTAGTCTTTCTTTTTGGAACCAACGTCTTGATCCCCATGACAATAAACATCATGATCACCATGACAATAAATTCTTAATTTCCAGTAATTCAATTTTGTAACATCCATAAAATTCATGAAAATTTTAAACTTTTAAAACCATCCCAAAAATCATCATTGTTTACAATTTAGTTTTCAAAACATGTTTAATATCATAGTTTTCCCAAGATCATAAATCAAAACACGAGGAGGTGCACGATCACGCATTCGCCTTCTTGCGATCATCTGAGGTACGTGAAACATAACCCAAACTGTAATCCCAAAGCTTAGCGAGTTCCCCCCAAAATACCAGCACAACACAAAAACAGAATAATAACAATGATCAACATGCATACAGGGCCTTCAGTTTGACTGGAACGCCCCACCGGCCTACAGTCTACCTGGTACGCTCACAGAACCTTTAGCATGACTGGTATGCCACACCAGGCCTTCAGCCCATCTGGACCGTTCTCCGGGCCTTCGGCCCGACTGGTACGCCCCACTGGCCTTCATTCTCTCCAGGACGCCCTGAGTCTGTTGGTCTTCTGCACAAAGCAGGTCCGCCTCAACCCAACCACACATACACTATGTCGACACACACACACACATACACACACACACACACACATATATATATATATATATATATATATATATATATA